CATATTCGACTCTAACTCGAACTCTATCCTTAAAGGCAACTCAAATTCAAAGTTGAAATCGAATTCATTATTGTTACTCGAACTCTACCTTTGAATTGACTCAAACTTGAAGTTAAACTCGAAACGCAATGCTAACTAGAACTTTAATTCTAATAATGGCTTGAATTATAACTTGAATCGAAGACTTAACTCAAAGTTTAACTCGAACAGTAACCCGAACTTTAATTTAAACTCTAACTCGATGGATGGCCACACTCATCCAAGGCACATAAAACATGGAAATCTAGGATCTAAAAATAGAAATCGTTTTTCCGAAATGGTCACGTGGTTTTACCTCATCACGTAATGTGATAACCATATGAAAGAATGAAAGGACCACATCAAATACTGAAACAAACACATCATGTAGTGTAAAATCGTCAAATGTTGAAACATCATTAGAAACATCATTACGTAATGTTAAAGCCATATAAAGAATTGGCAAATCATCATTACGAAATAACAAAACCACATCATGTACTGAAACAACAACATTACGTTAAGTCACGTACACATCAAGTAATGTTAAAACCACATTGCCTAATGACACAACTACATTAAATAATGATGAAACCACATCGAGTAATGACAAAGCCATATTAAGTAATGACAAAACTATATCAAGTCAATACGAAACCATATCGTGTAATGTCGAAATATCATTAAGTAATGACTATTCCATATTAAGTTATATCAAAACATCATGACGTAATATCAAAACCATATTATTTAAAGACAAAACGTTATCAAGTAATAATAAAACAACATAACGTTATATCAGAGTTTCACATAAGACAGCTGTGGCGTTCCATACAAAAAGACAAATGTCAGATTTATAAGAACAAAATACAAATGTAAAGTGCCATTTATGTCACTCTCTTTAAAACTGTTCTTGTTTTTGATTATAAATAGCTACATATTTTCCCGTACAATTCAGATCATTTAACTTTTATGTGATTGCTTGCAGGGAAATAACTTTTGAAAGCAACACCTTGAATAAATATGATATTATGTTTTATATTTGATACATAGCAGTACATTTACCATTCCAACAATATGTGTTTAAAGGTTTCTGGTTGTTTATTGCACAAAAGGTTGTGTATAAATTGTTTTAAGTAATTTTGAATCAAAGCTAAGTGGGTAACCTTTAGTTAGTATTTTAAAGGTGTCAAGAATATTGTTAAACTCATTTAAATGAATGTCATACGAGACAAAATTAGCCCGACATTAAAATTTCTATTTCTTCACCATAGGCTGAATATACAGGTTGTAAATTGATATAGAATCTGAGATATGATTTCATCAGATCAGATCACTTCCTTTACTGTAATGTTTATCAAATCTTTTATGAGAAATATTCAGTTTATATTATGTAGATATTTAGAATGTCATGCTATGATTGTTGTTCATTTTTTTCATGTTTTAAAAATTCGGTTATAAAAGGACTGATTCGGCCAATCAGGAATAATATGTAAATAAAATCAACAAGAAATGCACACAGATGCAAGAAGCGAAATAGTACTCGTGCGAGTCCAATGCATTTCTAAACTCGATTGTTTTCTTCTCATACATTGCACCACCGTACTCGACAAAGAATATTTAAGCTAACATAATTCCTTTTTTATTTACTGGAATTCACATTTCTTGTTATTTTCGTTTGTTCTTAGCATAGTTGTAGATTTTTAAATGTATACCTTTGAATAATGCTCATACTATGGTGGCAGGTTAAGGCCATTCCGCATTTTCGAGTTTTCGCTATTCATATTCTATAAGGCGTTAAAAAGCGAAATCGCAAAGTCGAAGACGCGAAAATGCGAAGTCGAAAACGCGAAGTCGAAAAAGCAAAAACGCGAAATAATTTTTCTTTCCAAATTAGCGTTTTCGACTTCGTGTTTTTTGCGTTTTTGCGTTTTTTTGCGTTTTTCACCATTTCTTATTTGACAGATTCTTATTTACATGGACCTGTGCTATAGGAGAAAAAATAGGATATAGGAATTGTAACAATATTGTCATATCCACAAGGAATGATTATTTTATTAGAAGTTTTCAAAAAGGACATTTTAGCAGTTTCCGTAAATTCTTTTTTATATGATTTCTTAATTGAAAAAAAATGCATGCATTTTATGGAAGAAATAGGTAAGTGCATTATATTTTATTTGAATACACAGGCAAACTTACCACAGATGATACCCTTTATGATTCTCATATGATAGCAAACATGCATATCAAATGAGAGCATTTTCCTATGATGAGATGAGAATCATATATAATTTCCTATGAACTCTCATGGTGCTCTTTTTTTATATGATTTCCATATCATCGCTATTATATTAGAATCAAATGTGACAACTTTCCTTGTGTTGTATAGTCTTTTTTTGGTGTTGCATCTTAATATTATTTTGTTGTCAGTAAGATATTTCTGTGTAGAATCCTTGAAATGATTGTGATGCACATAAAAATAATCCAAACATACTAAATGCCTTATATATGCAAATTATCTAAACAAAAAATGTATGTTTTATTAAATTGGGTACGGGATAAACGTCAAAAAGACAACATCCCATTCCCCAAAGCAAATAAATTCTGTAAATTCAAGGGTTTCATATCTATATTAATGTTCTGGTGATATGTTAAAGTAGTAACATGGTAATCAGCCCATCTTTATTAACTGATTTTATAAGACATAATGGTCTTTTTCTAGATTTAAGCATTTTTGTCCCCCGCACCACACTTTGCGGGGACATAGAAATACTGTGCACCCGTTTGTCCATCCGTCCAGTCTTGTTAGCGCTCTCATGGGGACAATTCTTTCCAGAATTTTATAAAACTTACACTACAGGTTGATATCAGCAATTTCTCGGACAAGTTCTAAAACGGGTGCTGATTGCCTTTCTTAAAATAGTTATGCCCTTGTACTATATAACCTTTGATAGATGAACTATGTGCCAGGGATATTGGAACTCTATTTAGTTTTTAGATCATCTTGGGCAAGTTTGCCTGTGTATTAAAATAAAATATAATGCACATATTTATTTCCTAAAAAAATCATCCATAAAACGCAAGCATTTTTTTTTCAATAAAGAAATAATATAAAAAAGAATTAACGGAAACTGCTTAAATGTCCCTTTTTGTGCAACCTTATAATAATAATAATAATAATAATAATAATATCTTTATTTAAAGAGAGTAACTCATTTGGATTAAACAAATTTTCAATAAGGCTCTCTACATACAATATCAACTACATGAATAAAACATAACTAATCTACTATTACACACATGTAAACAATAGATGTATAGAAACAAAATATAACAACAACAACAACAAAATCACCTATAGTATACATTGTGGCTTAACTTATAAATTTCACACTTTAAAAAATATAATGACTTGTAAGAGTATTTGAATGCAGATATACTTTTTGATTTTTTAATTTCACTGGATAGTGAATTCCACACTTTTGGACCACTAAAAGAAAAACCTGATTTGTATAATTTTGTATTTGATTAAGGGACAATAAAATTATCCGATGATGAAAGTCGAGTATTGTACGATTGTTTACTATTTGTAGGCACAATAAGATTGGATAAATATTTTGGTGCCAGTTCATGTTTTGATTTATACGAATCAATCCAGGTCGACTAGTCAGAGGTTATACTGCATTGAGCAAGCGAAAATTTTACAGGGACGAGTCAATACTTCGACTCATCCAAGTTTTCGACACAACCGAGAGTTCGATACATCGAGGTTCGACTGTACTATGTGATGATTTATAACCGGTTCCATTAAATTAATCATTGTCTATTGTCCAAGTCAGGAATTTGACAGTTATTTTCCATTCGTTTGGACTTTCCGTTTTGAATTTTCCTTGGAGTTCGGTTTTTTTGTTCTGTTACTTTTTTTGTACAGTATTATTCACGACTACGTTCATTGGATAAGTTATTGCCTGTACATTATTACTTGTGGCCAAATTCATTTAGTAAATGGTTCATGCCTGTACAGGATTACTTGTGGCAGAATTCATTGGGTAATTGGTAGCCTGTACAGGATTATTCATGGCGAATTTCATCGGACTATCCATTGACTGTACATGCTTATTCATGGCTTGCCATAAATGTCCTACAGCATGTACAGGGTTATCAAAAACTAAAAAAAGGATTCTGTTCAAAATCATTATACATGTTAGTATGAAATGGGTCTGATAGGTAGGAAGGTCTTGCGTTAGGTAACGAATATACAAATTCATCAATAGTCTCCTTTGATTACTGTTATAGTTATAAGGAGGTCTAATATATGTTTTTTGTGGCTCCGGATGTGGTGTATACCAAGAACTTCGTTAAAGATTCTAAGATAAATGGTCTTTGTAAGTAGGAGTACTTGCTACAGGTAAATTACTCAAACCCCTTGTAATATTGTCTCTTGAAATTGAGGCATCTAGTATAAGTAAAGGTGTACTGATAGTTTGAGGGAAACCAATGAACGCACTGACATGTCCCAATACGGTTCAGGTGGCATCACGTTTTGTGTATACACTTCCCTTATTTGTTTCAAGTCAGAAACTTTATCTGCTTTATTTCCTTGAACATGTTGAACCCTAGGTCTAACTAACTCTTCCATAGAAAACTAAGTAATCAAAATCTCTCATCAGAAAAACTAACGTTGGGCCTCTTTTGTTCTTTTAAGTATGGTAACCTGTATCATAGTTGTTCATCAAATTGTCTATGTGCTTTTTGAATCAGTATCAGAACTGTCTTCCTTAACCACTCTTGTTGTTCATTCTGTAAGCTCAGTATAAGGGTTTCCAGCACAGTTCTTTTTGGATTAGGGAATTAACGGGTAAATAAAAAAAGACCCGTACAGGTTTTCCTCTGAACACAAACTTTCCACATCTATATCACAGTAACTACTACGTGAGAAGCGATCATCATCTTGACAGTAAGCTATTGTCACAAAAATGATCAACAAAAATGTACAAAAATTTATTTTTTGTTTTCTCAAAAAAACAAAATAATATAGTATTCAAACAAATACAAGCGTAAGTGTATCTTTTTCATGCGGCACCATTTGTTACAGATCGGAGTTGCTAAAGTGCCATTTTTTTTGGCGTTTAATGGCTAGTATTTCTTCCAGAACTTGATCATGTAAGATTCACTTGCTGTACATGCTGAAATGGCTTAGACTAAACTTAGGTATTTTCAAATAACAGAATATTGAATTGACAAAATAAAAATATTAAACTCACCATTAAATTGACAAAATAAAAATAGTAAACTCAACAACAATCTATTTTCAGAACATGCCTATAACAGTATAATAAATCTATTAAAGTACAAAGTCCATCCAACATATACCTTAAAAGAGAAATGGATTGAAAAAGCGTCGCGTTGTGTTAAATTGGCATAAAATGAAAGGAGTAGTGATCCTTATGTGTCGTGAAATTGGTCCCTTTAATTTATTAACTAATGAACATACCTCGTAAAGAATATGACCAGGTGACTATCTGGAAGGTCATCCGCCTGTGTAAACCTGGTGGAATTAAAGTAAATACGTAGGAATAGAATGACATGTCTTCAGGTCGGCTCAAGCTGCAACTGAGTTAAAAACTCATCACTCGCTTTATTTATACCCTGTGCACAATGTAGTGAGACAACATCGATTTGAACCTGGGTATGACTCGAGATATTATGTTATTATGAGACTGACCATTGGCTAAAAGGGACATAAAATGGTTATGGCTCTTGTACCTCCAGTTTACAACGCGAACATCCGGGAGGAAATGTCATGTAATATTTACTGACTTTGGTCTTTTGTGGAGAGTTGTCTCATTGTCAATCATACCACATCTTATCTTTCTATATATTGACAAATGAAAAAAAAGTAAGTGCAATATTCTATCTTAAAGAAAGGAACATATACGTGTATTCTTACTTCCTAATTCAGTTTAAAAGTAAAACTAGAATCCAACTCTTCTACACTATAACCACAGCAGTTCATCATAAACAATAGCCTGAGTATTTGGCTTATTGCAAACAACTATAAGCGTGAACAAATTCCCATAAAAAAAACAAGGATCGTCGAGGCCATGCTCTGCATTTAATACAATTCTGTTTTCGTATCCATTATGTGAAAATATATGAACAGCATTGTGTTTACTTAATACAGCCACATACTCATAAGAAACTGCTATTCCTATAGGATCCCGAACGATATCTGGAGCAATCCACTTCTGATTTCCATAAATATCATAACATAAAACAAGATCTTCGTTTTCATTTGCGATGTAAATGTTATTAGAGTCAACTGCAAATCTTTGACCTGGAATATTCAGAGATCCTATTTCACGACCATGAAGATCTGCAATGATAATTCTACTAAGATTTGGACAGCCGATAAACAAAATACGACGATAGCACTTAATGTAATAGCACTTTGGTCTATATACAACTGATTCGACTATTTTACATTCGTTTGTATCAACAAAGGCCACCATGTGATCGTTGGGAATTGTGACAGCAACTATGGATCTTTCAACGTAACAGACATCTAACGGATTGTTGTTGAATTTAACAATGTCTTTCAAATATACGCCTTCTTCGTTTAGTAAAACTACACGTCTATTATGGCTATCAACTACACAGAAATCCTCACCTATACTTGACCAACCTGTAACTTTCATCCCTTCTGGAATAACAAATGTGTTTAGCCTTGCTAGAGTAACTTGACGCAGCTTTATTTTTGCTCGACCCATCGTTTCTATACTTGTATTGTCCTAAAATTGAAACAACATTTTGTCTTTGTTGGTTGATGTTTTCTTACTGAGCTTAGAAAATATACAAAACATAAAATGATTAGAGTTTTTACGTTCTATCATTGATAGATTTAAAAAGGAAATGGTTATGTTGCTAGTTAATAGGGTACATACATGGAAATCGTTTTGACATGATAAATCTATATTGCGGCTTGAATTCAATATAGCACATTTATGTAAACTGGATAAAACCAAGACTTTTGTTATTACATTCCTTTAAGACCAATAATGGTACATTTTGTAACTCTGAATTATTTGCAATATCCCTGTAAACAAAACAAAAACGTTATAATATATAAAAAAATGCTTAAAACAGTTTTGAAAACTTGTTATTGGTCTCAGGAACCACATGTTATCGTAAAAAAAAACCAAATTTAATAAATAGTATGGAATACTCTGTAAATTGAAAGTTCCAACCGGAGAATTAGTTTTTTTTATAATACTGTTTGAAGTTAAGTTATACATTTGTAGATTGAGGGGTTCACGCACACATATTGGTGGCTTCAGTTTTTACTGAGACATTTTGAAAAAAAATCGCAGTTGCTTTCGTAATACATCTGAAAGTTTTAATAGTCCACTGAAAGATTTCAAAAATGGCTTCATTCAGAATTAATTTGTACGATTAATGAGTTGGTTTAACAAATAAACACGTTCTTTAAAAAAAGAAATGAGATAAAGATTGTCTATTCATAGCATCTGATTAATACTGTAGTATATAATCACTCAATTGAATTCCTGAATTAAATTAAAGATGTATAATTTCATTTTTATTAAAATAAAAGCTGTGTGTATACTCGACGTTATATAGTCATATTTCTCGCGGGTACATTTTTAGCAAACAATGGAAGGAAAAGGCGACAATGAATACTATTAAACATTTTATGCTGTTTTAAGCCATTTTGGCCCGAGAATTGAGAGCAAAAACATTGGAGCTGCTCTATAAAATTGCTCGTTTTCCTTAAACATGTTATAAACAATTAAATGTATGAAGGAACATATCTGTCTCGGACGATGTGTAAAAAAAAAAACAACCATAAAACCATGATGATGGCGATCAATTTTCGTAAAACTTTCTAATTTAACGGAACATGATTCCTTTATTCACGAATTTAAGCACTGCGATAACGTCTGAAGGAAATATGCTACCTATATATTTGCTTTAGCTTTAATCTTTAATCTGAAGTAAAGCAATGTTTCAAAACATGTACTATTATGAATTATCATATCTCAGTATATTTTTTTTCTATATACAAACAAATAAAATTGTGTGCTATTTCATTCCATAATCCTTTCAGAGGATATTTTCCAGTCAATAGTTTCAATTATTATATCTTAGTATGCATTTTCTTTATAAAATTGTAGACGAATAATTTTAAATTTACAATTTTAACGAAATTTCTTTAAAAAGACTATTTACCGGTTGATAGTTTCACAATTGTTTATTGGATATAACCTTTTTACTGGAAGCAAACATTTTCCCGTACTTTCTGTATCGTTTGATTTGACTCTTCTCCTGAGACTTCCGAATGATTGTTTATACTGCAACTGTACTATTTGCGCAGTCAAAATATTATGACGTCGATTAAGAATACGCGGCCGTAGCGCACTACTAAATGAGATGAGGTAAAGGGGGTCTGGGGATGTGCCCGCAGCAGGACGATTTTCCCTCCGTTATATTGAACTGTAAACTTGCGTTTTCTGGACAGGAGACTAAGGAAATAGATAATGTATTTATAACAAGAAATAAGAGAAATTATGTGTTGATTTTTCCAAAAAAGTTCATCGAAAGGTACCAAGAACTTGTTGATAAATATTCCGTATCAACTTCACAAATAATACACGATGGTCTTGAAGTATAGATTTTGCGTACTGACGTTGTTTATCATCTTAATAACGTGTTAAAGTATTATTTTATTTATCTTTATTAATATAACTTTTACTGTTAAGTCTGTTTTTTTGAGATATCCATTTGACGTGACTCTGTGCTTATGTATCCCATCATACTTTGAACGACAAAATTATTTTATTTATTAATATTACTTTTACTGTTGAGTATGTTTTTTTGTGATATACATTTGACGTGACTCTGTACTTATGTATATCGTCATACTTTGTACCACACAATTATTTTATTTTATTTATTAATATTACTTTTACTGTTAGTCTGTTTTTTGTTATATCCATTCTCTGTTACTCTGTATTTATGTATCCTGTCATACTTTGAAAGACAAAATTATTTTATGTCTACCTGTGCGAATTTCAAACGCGCGATTTTACGCCAGTACTTAAAACCTTCCATCCTTTATAGGTGGATTTTACATAGATAAATAAAATCGTATAATATAAGCAAAATGAGGATGTTAAATTTGATGTATGCCTTTTTGTGCTTCTTCGTTACATTTGTTTGTTTTTATAGTGATTAAGATTATAACACAATGTTGACTGCTGTACCCCTATTTTTGACTTTTTGACCTATTGTGTCTGTTTGTTTTGTTCACGCATCGTTGTCAATATAATGGAATTTGATGCGACTGTCATACCGAGTGCTCCACGAAACCTCTTTCTAAATTATTAACATCTATTTTATCAGCAATCAAAGCCGGGCTCCAAAGTTATTGTGAAACTGCCTATTCTAGAGGTGGCGTGAATCAGATGTGGATACTAAAAAATTCCAAAGATCTTTTAGAGTACATACGATCTAAGACTCTCTCATCTTGCAATAGTATTAAAACATTTGACTTTTCTACACTTTACACAAGTATTCCCCATTCCAAACTAAAAGACAAATTGAAAGAGTTGGTATTACTTTGTTTCATTAAAAAGAATGGCGAACGTAGATACAAGTATCTTGTCTTGGGGAGGGATAAATCCTACTTTGTAAAGAATCACTCTGACTTAAACAAAAAATTCTCTGAAACTGACATTATCAAGATGCTTGATTTCTTGATTGACAACATAATTGTTACGTTTGGAGGACGTGTTTTTCAACAGACTGTCGGAATTCCAATATGAACCAATTGTGCCCCTCTTCTTGCCGACTTGTTTCTTTATTATTATGAGGCTGACTTCATACAGGAACTTCTTAGGAAGAAAGATAAGAAGTTAGCAATATCCTTTAACTCTACGTTCCGCTATAAAGATGATGTTCTCTCACTAAATAATACAAAATTTGGTGACTATGTTGAACGAATCTATCCCATCGAACTAGAGATAAAGGATACTACAGATACAGTTAAGTCTGCCTCATATCTTGACTTACATCTAGAAATTGACAATGAGAGTCGGTTGAAAACAAAACTTTACGACAAAAGAGATGGTTTCAGCTTCCCAATTGTGAACTTTCCATTTCTATGTAGCAACATTCCAGCAGCGCCTGCATACGGAGTATATATCTCCCAATTGATACGATATTCCCGGGCTTGTGTTTCCTATCATGATTTCCTTGATAGAGGATTGCTGCTCACAAGGAAGCTATTAAGCCAAGAGTTCCAAATGGTGAAGTTGAAATCATCCCTTCGTAAATTTTATGGACGCCATCACGAGTTGGTTGACCGTTATGGAATAACCGTTTCACAGATGATATAGGATTTGTTCCTTATGTCGTAACTACAATACCCTTCCCTTTTCACGAATGTGACTTACCGAATTAGACTATTTACCGGATTTGTAATAACATAAGCAACACGACGGGTGCCACATGTGGAGCAGGATCTGCTTACCCTTCCGGAGCACCTGAGATCACCCCTAGTTTTTGGTGGGGTTCGTGTTGCTTAGTCTTTAGTTTTCTATGTTGTGCCATCTGTACTATTATTTGTCTGTTTGTTTTTTTTTATTTTTGGCCATGGCGTTGTCAGTTTGTTTTCGATCTATGAGTTTGACTGTCCCTCTGGTATCTTTCGTCCCTCTTTCATACAAGTGAGAGGTTTAGCTAGCTATAAAACCAGGTTCAATCCACCATTTTCTACATACGAAAATGCCTGTACCAAGTCAGGAATATGACAGTTGTTATCCATTCGTTTGATGTGTTTGTTTTTTTGATTTTGCCATTTGATTGGGGACTTTCCTTTTTGAATTTTCCTCGGAGTTCAGTATTTTTGTGATTTTACTTTTTACTAACTTTTAGTTAGAAGAAATTGTTATACAAACTATCAAGAGTCAACCTGGAAGTAAATCTCTATTCACCAAAAACCTCCTGATTGTACGGGGACCATAACTATGAAATTTCAAATGCCTATTTTTTTCTGTCAATTTCAAAGTCATTACTATGAACATTGAGCATAGCAAGCCCAAAGGTCTATCGCCAGCTATTGCAGATCGTTCCAAGGTTTGCAGACGATTTAAACAAAATAAGATATGTCATAGACGACTGATCACTGTTCACCGACAAGAAGCAGTTTCAAAAATATAAAAACTCCATGCTTTGAAACTCTGTTAGCAAGCTCTCTGTCTCCTAAAGACTTCCTACATCTCGCATGAGTACTGTCTTCTCTTTTAACAAGAACTATTTATTTTATCCAGTTTTAACTTGTCCTTTTAAGAAAATAAAGTAAATAAAGACATACTGAATCTGATCAACAATTTCAGTTAACTGGGTTAACTCTGAATATTTAAATTTTTAGGCATCCTTGAGGAGTGTAAAATGCAAGAATGGGATCATTTCTTCGAAACTGTTGGTTCATGACTATGCGTTTCAGTTCTTAAAACAAGGCCAAAGATATATGTGTGATACGATTCTTACATGCAGATACTGATTCATATTCTATAGCGTCGAGGCGATTACTTTATATCAATTTTAACCTTCTGGTTAATGTGATAAAATATTTAAGTTTGGAAAAAGCCCTCAGAGGTTTCGCATATAAAATTTTTATTAATAACTAACAGTTTGAAGTTTGCGAGAATAAATAAGCGATTGTCTTATTAATTAAATTATGTAGAGATAATGGTGTTAAGTTTTCTTGACA